TATTCTACTATGGAAGTTAAAGTTTCACAACTGCTCCTTATGTATATTGGATTTGGGTGAATTTTCATTGTTATATAAATGTTGAACTAGTTTCAACAGTGTTCTTTCATATTTACTCTGCAAATACAAAAAAAACCTGTAGCCAGTGGTCATTTCAAAATCTTTTATGTTCAGATACTGAAGGTTGACTACCTCAGATTTACTGCACTCACAGTGGACTTCATGTGGATCACAACTTCTGGATAAGAAGTTTACAACTATTAAGTGTCAATGTGAACCTTGAAACAAGCTCTACTGGATCCTTATCAGAAATCCTGCAGAAAGTCAGCCATCTAGGTTCTGATCTGCTATAAACGATAAACATTCAAATTCATTAATTAACCTGTCCTGTGCCCTGCCCTTAAGGAATACCCTCTGTAGTAGGCTGTGGCTATATTAGACTTTCTGGAACATGCCACTCAAAAGAACTGATATGTCCAGATCATCTGTGTAGGACTGTGATTTGATATTTAAACTTTTAGTTGTATTCTGAGATAACCACAAAATAAATTCAACCAAACTGGGGTTCCCAGAGTGAGAAAATGGGTGAGAGAATAATTTTAGTGATTTTTTATTTAGAAAGTGCTGGCCAGGTGCTGTGGCTCATGCCTGTAACCCTAGCACTTTGGGAGGTTGAGGTGGGTGGATCACCTGAAGTCAGGAGTTCAAGACCAGCTTGACCATCATGGTGAAACCCCACCTTTAAAAAAAAAGAAAGTGCTTTTCTTTGTTCTACATTAAGGCTTTTTTTACCTTGACTTGAAATAAGTTATTTGACAGAGCATATTTCTTGGTTAAGTAAGTAACCTGAAGTATGCATTAGAGTTGCGAAATGTCTCATGAATATGCCAATCCTGAGGGTAGACCCAAATGGCCTTTGATGTAAAGGGCAGTGGTTGCTGGAGGCTTTACTTCAGGTGCTGCTAATACCTCCTCTAATCAGGTCTAAATTGTATAGTAAACTGCAGTGAAAATAATATGCTTTCTGCTCAGGCTAAGGGATTCACGATCTGTCCTTATAAATTCAGAGCAATATGAGCAAAACCTCAGCTAAAACCCATTTAAGTTTCATGAATTGTGCATGTACCTTTGATAAGAACTTCTTATATACTTGTGCCCAAATTTTCAAGGTATTGGATGTGCCATAGATGCAGTGATTTTCCTAGCTAGCTCTGTTTTCAACCTTTTGGTGTGTCTTTATGTTCATTTGGAGAGTCAGGAGGAAAGGAGATGTAGCACTTCTGTTTTTAATAATTAAAACTTAAACTACCTAGTAGTTTTTGGTCCTTTAAAGGGGACTTGAGGAACCTTCCCCGGATTACAGAAAAGTTTCCACCTAATGAGATAGCCTGGTAGTTTCCTAGTTTTGTATCTTTGGTTCAATAGAAATAACTCAAAGTGGTATGTGACTAACTGATGCAGAGCCTGTGTTTCTCCATAATAAATCCCTTTGCCAAATGCATGAGTTGCAGACTTGCTACTGGCAAGAGTGAAGCAAGTGGGTAAAACTATTTTGATGTAGAAACATTTTCCTATAGAAGTCAGTCTTGATGGAAGTGTTAGTGCAGGAATCGGACTCTAGGAGGGTTACAGTATCTCCTGACAGGACCTACCAACTATGTCTGATAAATAATGTTGTCATTATTTGAGGTGGCAGGCAGGATGCCTGCCTTCTGGTGTATTTGGGTGAGTAGTTGAGCTAGCCAAGGGGAGGTTGAATGATTAAATCAGAAATGGGATTCTTGGTAAACTGAAGACTTTATTTGGGAACCAAAAACCTTAACAAATAATCTCTTCATTGAGCCACATATTTTCCCTGAAACGTATGCATTTTTCCAGCAAAATATTGTTGGGGGTTATGTTATTGAAGGATAAACAGAGATGAATAAGTGGAGGTGTTAGGTAACGGCATACTGTACATGAAATCTGAAGACCTGCAGCAGATTTAAATTCCAACACTTGTTATAACTGTTTAAAAGACTGTGAAAATATCAAAATGTGTATGAATCAAGTTTCAACATATTATATGTTGGGTGGATGAGGCTGTCCATTTCTTTGACTTCTCAGGCATAGTTTGGCAGTGCAAGAACTCTGTAATGCTAACAAATTCAATAAAAAGTAAATATATGGAAAAGAAGTGTAAGAGCCCTGCAACACTGGGAATATGGCTGTTTCTAGGATTTAAGTAGCAAGAAAAAAAACAACCACAAATCCAAAGGAAAAAACTCAGAACAACAGCAAAAAAATAATGCACTAAAAGAAGACTGTGGCAGCAATGCCTTGGCCTTCAGAATCTGGTTGGCACAGCAACTGATTAAGGGCCTTGGCAGCAGGCAGAGCAACTGCAGTGTCTTTTAAATGAACAGAGTACCACAGTCCAGGAGACTGTTTTAGCTTCAGAAATGTCAGAAAACAAACCAAGATATTATCAGGAAATGAAGGTAGAAAAGGCTTAAGGTCTTAGAGATCAAATTCTCCCTAAATGAAAGGTAAAAAGAGAGATGTACCCCCCAAAAGATGTCCCCAGGCCTAAAAGCAGGAGAGATAGATAGATAGACAGACAGACAGACAGACAGACAGACAGACAGACAGATAGATAGATAGATAGATAGATTCAATAGATTCGATATAGATATATAGATATATTTAAAATATACAACATGATATTTTGATATGAGACTAGGAAAGAGTAGGATATATTTTCTGTTTATATTAAGTCTAGAAAGGTAACTCGGAGTTAGATATAATAAAAAAGAAAAGGAAAAATATGAGTAAACTGGAATAACCTCTCATTACCACATCGCTTCCCACAAGGGAGATCAGATTCAAAAAACTATTGGGGTGCCCTCTGAAAACTGTAGAAAAAGTGTCAATAATAGGAGCAGATTAGCATTCTTCTTTTAATAACTGATTACAAAACATTTAGAAAGAATGAAGAGAGAAGAAGACCGCAGCGAGCAGGTATTATTTACTGAGCTTCAAGTGACACAGTGACTGTAATTTGGAAAGCAGGATAGCCTGGGCCAGAAAGGAAGATACTTAAGACATTTAGAGAGTTAAGACTCTTGGGGGTTGGGAGAGAAAAATGAAATTCAGTAAGGCAGGATTTCAATATGTGTGAGCCCGGTCTGTATTAAATAATGGAATGATGCAAAGATATCTCCTAGAAGAAATTCTCCTACTTAGGAATGTGAAAGTGGGTAAGGAGGTTTTACTTGAATTGCAGATGCTTTCTGCAGTCCTGGAACTTCCTTTCTTCATAGCTTTCACTGTAGGAGGAATCCCATAAGATAAATCCTGACGGAGTATATTAAAAAAAACACACACATGTCAAGACCACAAAACAAGAGAAAGGAAAATGAAGAGCAAAGGACACTATGATCCAGCAAATATTTTTAGCCCTACACAGGTAGAGATGACACAGGACCTTAAGAAATAAATGGGGTGAGGCTCGGGCTTGATGCCTTATGCCTGTAACCCCAGCACTTTAGGAGACCTGAAGCAGGAGGATCATTTGAGCCCAGGAGTTTGAGACCAGCCTGGGCAACATAATGAGACCCTGTCTCTACAAAAACTAGAAGTATTATCCAGGCATGATGATGCTCTCCTGTGGTCCCAGCTACTCAGGAGACTGAGGTAGGAGCATCATTTGAGTCTGGGAAGTCAAGGGCGCCATGAACCAAGAGCGTGCCACTGCACAAAGAAAGAGAGAGGGAGGGAGGGAGGAAGGGAAGGAGAGGGAGAGAGAAGGGAAGGCTGTGAGGAAGGAAGGAAGGAAGGAAGGAAGGAAGGAAGGAAGGAAGGAAACAGGGAGGGAGGGAGGGAGGGAGGGATGAAGGAAGGGAAGGAAACCAGGGGAAAACACAAGGAAATGAAACATTGTTTTACATACTTGCCAGTGGAGGAAAAAAATAAAGAAAATGGAATGAGAGTCATATGCCACTGCTGCTGGGGGAGGGGAAGGGGGGTGGGAAGCCAGCCAAAAGAATGTTGTACTCAGCCTGCTTATCCAGCCTATGGGCAGCAGCCAGCAGCCACTGCACCTACAAGACCACAGGATGGTAACAAGCCCACTGAGACTAGTCAACCTCAATCTAGCACAGGAGGTTACAACCAGCCCAGCCTAGGATATGGACAGAGTAACTACAGTTATCCCCAGGTACCTGGGAGCTACCCTATGCAGCCAGTCACTGCACCTCCACCCTACCCTCCTACCAGCTATTCCTCTACACAGCCGACTAGTTATGATCAAAGCAGTTACTCTCAGCAGAACACCTATGGGCAACCAAATAGCTATGGACAGCAGAGTAGCTATGGTCAACAAAGCAGCTATGGGCAGCAGCCTCCCACTAGTTACCCACCCCAAACTGGATCCTACAGCCAGGCTCCAAGTCAATATAGCCAACAGAGCAGCAGCTATGGGCAGCAGAGTTCATTCCGACAGGACCACCCCAGTAGCATGGGTGTTTATGGGCAGGAGTCTGGAGGATTTTCTGGACCAGGAGAGAACCGGAGCATGAGTGGCCCTGATAACCAGGGCAGGGGAAGAGGGGGATTTGATCATGGAGGCATGAGCAGAGGTGGGCAGGGAGGAGGATGCGGTGGAAAGGGCACTGGAGAGCGAGGTGGCTTCAATAAGCCTGGTGGTCCCATGGAGGAAGGACTAGATCTTGATCTAGGCCCACCTGTAGATCCAGATGAAGATTCTGACAACAGTGCAATTTATGTACAAGGATTAAATGATAATGTGACTCTAGATGATCTGGCAGACTTTTTTAAGCAGTGTGGGGTTGTTAAGATGAACAAGAGAACTGGCCAACCCATGATCCACATCAACCTGGACGAGGAAACGGGAAAGCCCAAAGGCGATGCCACCATATCCTATGAAGACCCACCTACTGCCAAGGCTGCCGTGGAGTGACTTGATGGTAAAGACTTTCAAGGGAGCAAACTTAAAGTCTCTCTTGCTCGGAAGAAGCCTCCAATGAAGAGTATGCGGGGTGGTATGCCGCCCCATGAGGGCAGAGGGATGCCACCACCACTCCATGGAGGTCCAGGAGGCCCAGGAGGTCCTGGGGGACCCATGGGTCTCATGGGAGGCCATGGAGGAGATAGAGGAGGCTTCCCTCCCACAGGACTCCGGGGTTCTCGAAGGAACCCCTCCAGAGGAGGAAACGTCCATCACCGAACTGGAGACTGGCAGTGTCCCAATCCGGGTTGTGGAAACCAGAACTTCGCCTGGAGAACAAAGTGCAACCAGTGTAAGACCCCAAAGCCCGAAGGCTTCCTCCCACCACCCTTCCCGCCCCCGGGTGGTGATCGTGGCAGAGGTGGCCCTGGTGGCATGCGGGGAGGAAGAGGTGGCCTCGTGGATTGTGGTGGTCCTGGTGGAATGTTCAGAGGTGGCCATGGTGGAGACAGAGGTGGCTTCCGTGGTGGCCGGGGCATGGACCGAGGTGGCTTTGGTGGAGGAAGACGTGGTGGCCCTCGGGGACCCCCTGGACCTTTGATGGAACAGATGGGAGGAAGAAGAGGAGGACGTGGAGGACCTGGAAAAATGGATAAAGGCGAGCACCGTGAGGAGCGCAGAGATCGGCCCTATTAGATGCAGAGACCCTGCAGAGCTGCATTGACTACCAGATTTATTTTTTAAACCAGAAAATGTTTTAAATTTATAATTCCATATTTATAATGTTGGCCACAACATTATGATTATTCCTTGTCTGTATTTTAGTATTTTTCACCATTTGTGAAGAAACATTAAAACAAGTTAAATGGTAGTGTGCGGAGTTTTTTTTTTTTCCTTCTTTTAAAAATGGTTGTTTAAGACTTAACAATGGGAACCCCTTGTGAGCATGCTCAGTATCATTGTGGAGAACGAAAAGGGCCTCTAACTGTAACAATGTTCATGGTTGTGAGGTTTTTTTTTAAATAAAATTCCAAATGTTTATAAACAGTGAAAAAAAAAAAAAAAACCTAAAAAATTTAGACGCTTAGAGACAGCAAGGCTTGGGAAAGAGGACGTGGATGAGGAAATATTGGTGGTCACTGGATGGCACAGCCTTTGGAAGCTTCAGTTCAGGCATTTTCAGGCCTAAGGAACCTATAGCAGACAGCAACAACAGCAGTCACAGTGGCATGGAACAAATCCCATGGGATCTTACTGTGGACACAGATATACAGAGATGAGCTGAAGATTGAGACGGTGAAGATTGCTAAGCCATGAATTTCACTCAGAGAGCTACCTGTTATAAATGTGGGGGTGCCTTCTCACAAGATTGGGTAGATTAGATTGTTAGGAATGCAAGAGTCGACTGGATATGAAAATACAGATATTCTAAATATATGGATGGATAATGAAGGAAAAGAGGGGCCCTTAGGAAAGACTGAAGGACTGGAGGGGCCACCACAATGAATATCTAAATTCTACAATAAGATAGGAAGACAGCCTGTTAGTCCCAGATATCTGAGTCCAAAACTTGCGATCTTAAAATCCATTTTTAAAAATTAACAAAACAATTTAGTTTCCACATACAGCACTGATTTAAATCCATTTGGAGAAATCTCCCATCCATAAGAGAATTATGACCATCTGCTTCCAATTCCCCTATGGGGATATCCCCCTACATGTACAACTTCATCTCTCAGAGTGGTTGTAAAGTGCAAAGTAAGAATGAAAGAAAAGGATCATAGCTTCCTCACCCCCATTCCCTCCCTCAAGAAAGACCTAGTCAAGTGTTTGGCTCAAATTCCTTGAGCCATGTTTACTAATGTGTTAGAGAGAGTCACTATTAATAAAATAGTGTCACTATTAATAAAATAGTGTTAATAAAAGAGAGTCACTTTTAATAAAAGGTCACATACTGTAGATGGATTTCTCTTTCATGCTTTCCAGTCATTCAGAGAAATTGAAACACTAAGCTAAAGCCTCCTTGGTATCCAGCCATCTTACTTTTTTTTTTTTTTTTTTGACACAGTTTCACTCTTGTCCTAGGCTGGAGTGCAATGGTACGATCTCAGCTCACCACAACCTCCTCTTCCCAGGTTCAAGTGATTCTCCCATCTCACCCTCCAGAGTGGCTGGGATTACAGGCACCCTCCACCATGCTCGGCTAATTTTGTATTTTTAGTAAAGATGGGGTTTCTCCATGTTGGTCAGGCTGGTCTCGAACTCCCGACCTCAGGTGATCTGCATGCCTCATCCTCCCAAAGTGCTAGGATTACAGGCGTAAGCCACCGTGCCCAGCCTGCCAACTTACTTTCTTTCACTTGATTGTTCAGTACTTTCACTTGATTGCTCAAGTACTTATTAGTTCTTACCAATTCAGGGATAAGCTACGATAAGATTGGAAACTGGTGGGAAAAGGCGAAGCCCTTTTTGGATCCTGAACCTAAGTTATATGCTGAAACCTAGCTTTACCAGAGAACCCTATGCCAGAGTACTGGGCACTAATATCACTAAACACTAAGTGGTATTTTAATTCCTATCTGTCCTTGTCCCTTGTATGTATGGCTTCTTAATAAATCTTACATGAAAAAGGTAATGAGGTTAAGTAAAAATGTGATTATTCCTGAGTTCCTACCCATAAAACCTAATTATTACCATTTAAAATCATACCTAATAGGCTGGGCACGGTGCTCACACCTTTAATCCCAGTACTTTTAGACACCAAGGCAGGAGTAGAGGAGTTAAGGAGTTCGAGACCAAACTGGCCAACATGGTGAAACCCCATCTCTACTAAAAATACAAAAATGAGTCGGGTGGGTGGCCTATACCTGTAGTCCCAGCTACTCAGGAGACTGAGGCAAGAGAATTGCTTGAACCCAAAAGGTGGAGGTTGTGGTGAGCCGAGATCAGCCCACTGCACTCCAGCCTGGGCAATAGAGCAAAACTCCATCTCCAAAAAAGAAGAAGACGAAGAAGACACCAGTCTTGTGGGATTAGAGTTGATAGGGCTAGCCACATCCTTTAGGACACAATCAAGTAACAGACTAGAAGTGAAGTGAAGTGTGGTTGGTCCCTGGAAACATCGTCATGAAAAAAATATTTTTTAGTCTGCAGTTAAAACTTGCCAAACAATCATTCTCAACTCTAGTTCATTCCTTTGATGACCATTTAGCATCTCTTTCTCTCTGAAAATCCCTACATGAATGGAATCCCAGTGGAAAGGAAGCTAGCCTCTTATTACAAGGCTGATCAATCAATGAGGGATGGAGGGACAAATTTGATCTCTTAATAACTGAAAATAATGCTTTTTTTTTTTTTTGCCATTGTTGCTACAATTTCTTACGGCCCCTTGGTGGAAAAACGATGATAGTTTGTTTCTTTATATATACTTTTCTCTACTAGCCATGTTTTCTATAATGCGTATTTATCTCTTTGACAATTAAAGTACAAATGAAGAAGAAAAAAAATCTCCTAAATTTAAGGAATTGAGTTAAGAGACAGAGACAGAGGTAGATAGGAAGACAGAAAGAAATTGAGTCTTCTCATTCTTCATAATTTTAGTCTTATTTTAGAAATCAAAGTTGGAGCATTCAGAAGGCAATGGCCAATACTGAAATTCCATTATAAGGAATAATGTCAATAACAACAAGTGATATGTAATGTATATTCTATATATTGCATATATAGTTTGGCTTTTCTAGAATTTCAATAAATGAAATTATACAGTATGTACTGTTTTATGTCTGACTTCCTTTACTTAGGATAAAGTTTTTGAGATTCATCCACATTGTTGTGTATATCAGCATTCATGCCCATTTTTTTTTTAGATGGAGTCTCGCTCTGTTGCCCAGGCTGGAGTGCAGTGGCTCACTGCAACCTCTGCTTCCCGGGTTCAAGTAATTCTCCTGCCTCAGCTGCCTAAGTAGCTGGGATTACAGTCATCCACCACCACACATGGCTAATTTTTGTATTTTCAGTAGAGACGGAGTTCACTATGTTGGCCAGACCTCAAGTGATCCACCTGCCTCAGCCTTCCAAAGTGCTGGAATACAGGTGTGAGCCACCACACCCGGCCTCTTCCAGCCTTTAAAAAATAATTTTGACAGAGTATTATTTACACACCATGAAATAAACTGTGGTATATACATTCAATGGAATACCATACAGCAATAAGAGGAATTAACTGGAAGGAAAGAGGATTTGCTTCACCATTCTGAAAGTCCAGCTCCTTCCAGTTCACTTTGTTATATTGATGTATATTTCATTTCTGTATGTGTATGGTGTGAGGTAGAGGTCATAGTTCATTTTTTCCATGCAACTGTCCACTTCTTTTCACAGAATTTATTGAAAAGACTATCAGTTTTCCATTGATTTGCCTTTGCACTTTTCTCAAAAATCAATTGAGAAAATATTTGCAAACCATGTATCCAGCAAAAGCCTTATATCCAGAACATATAAAAAACTTTCTAAACTCAATAGTAAAAAAAACAAAGAACCCAATCTTTTTATGGGTTCAAATAGATACTTATTTCATCAAAGAAGATATAAAGTTGGCAAACACATGAAAAGATGTTCAATATCACTCACCTTTAGGAAAATTCAAATTAAAACCACAAAAAGATGTACAAATGCTAAAAAGCACACGTGAAAATGCTCAACATCATTAATCATAGGGGAAATCAAAATAAAGGTAATCTTACACCTATTGGAATTACTAAAATAAAAAATATTGACAATGCCAAATGCTGGTGAGGCTACAGAGAAATATATCTTTCCTACCTTGATGATAGAAATGTAAGATGGTACAGCCATGCTAGAAAATAATCTGGCAGTTTTGTAAAATGTTAAACAAAGAGATCACTTCCAGACAGAGATGTGGAATGTTTCATGGATCCTTTCCCCAGAGAAATAACCATAACTGGTGAAAATTATCTTTAGAACAACCATGTTAAAGTCTCCAGAAATTATCCCAAGGGCATAAAGAAATAAAGAGTTATTTATTCAAGAAAATCTAAATCTCAGTAAAACACAGTGAGAGTTTCAAGCTCAATGATAGAAGCTCCACTCTGGGCAGGTACACTCAAGAAGATGGAATTTCTCCCTAGGAAGGGTATAGGAAATCAACATTTCTTATTCTCCCTAGGTCCATGTTACAGAAGCTCAATTCCAATCAAAGATGAGGAGATTAGGGCTCCCTTTCCCCAACCAGCTTTAACTCATAAGATGAAAGCACTAACCCAGGCACAACAGGCCAAAAAAACTGGGCCCAAATCATGCTCACCCCAGCTAGCTCATAGGATACTCTCCACATTAGAAATAGCAAGACACATTCTACTTGTGAAGCAAATGTGTCACTCTGAGAGAAGCAGGCCACTAATCCCAACCTGAGCTCTAGATTTGCCCAGGGAGAGAGGTGAGCTGTAAAAACAAAAAGCTCTAAAGTTCTCACAAAAGCAACTGACTTTATTGGGAACACAGTGTGGGAAAGTTCAAACCAAAGCGTGTTCACAAAACAATGGAAATTTTGGTAGTAAGTAATTAAGAAGAGGCCAGTAGCTCCACAAGAACAACCTAAACTACAGGTCAATTTACCATAGAGAATCAGGGAAAGGGACAGCTAAGAAAAGCCATACTGGCATCAGAAAAACACACAAAGTCTGGCAACAAAAACTACTTCCGCAGAGGGGCCCAAATATAATTGGACTATACTGAGGAGCAATTTGTGCTACAAGTCAAAAAAAAAAAAAAAAAAAAGTATAGCAACTAGGATTGAAAGCAGAGCAAGAGGGTGGAATAGATGTCTCCAATGATTGTCCCCCACCAAGGACACCAAACAATTATCTACATTAAAAAGCACCTTTATAAGAACCAAAAATCAGGTGCTTACTCACAGTACCTAGTTTTAACTTTGTATTACTGAAACAACCACTGAAGATTAGTAAAAACAGTCTTAAATAGCTAATGCTACCCCTCCCACATCCTCCAGCAGCAGTGGCATGGTGCACA